CCTGCCGCCGGTGGGCCCTGGAACTGGACACTGGCCGCCGAGAGCGATGGCCGCCTTCTGCCCCAGGCACCCAGCTGGCCGGCCGCCGAGGAAGGGGAGTGCGGCGAGGCGGCGCTGGAGTCCAGCCCCGAGGAGGCCCGGGAGCTGCGGGCGGCTGTGACCCAGCTTCTGGACGCTTCGTATCTGCTCACTCCTGTGGCCCAGGCCCAGCTCCTGTGGCTGTTGGGCTGGGCCCTGCGGGGGCTCCGGGGACAGCCTCCGGTGCTGTTCAAGCCGCAGCTGGTCCGGCTGCTGGGCACGGCGCAGCTGGCGCTGCTGCACGCTGTGCTGGCCCTCAAGGCGGCCTTCGGGGAGGCGCTGTTCACAGCCCAGGACGAGGCCCTGCTGCTCCGCCGGCTCACGCTGGCCGCCCAGCACCCAGCCTTGCCCCCGCCTGCCCATCTCTTTTACCTGCACTGCCTCCTGAGCTTCCCTGAGAACTGCCCGCTGGGCCCCGCGGGAGAGGAGGCCGCCCCACTGCTGCTGGGGCCCCAGCAGTGCCGAGGCCTCTTGCCCAGTCTCCTGCACGACGCGATGGCCCTGCCGGCCCGCCTGCACCTGCTGTGCCTGCTCTGTGCCGATGACGAGGAAAAGGAGGACAAGGGCCACGGTCAGAGCCCCCGGCGCCACTTGGAGGAGCTGCTGGCCGGCCTGCGGCAGAGGGCGGCCCTGGACGGGGGCCCCCGCGCCGCGGCCACTCTCTGCTTCCAGGCCTCGTACCTGGTGGCCCGCTGTCTGGCCGGGCAGCCTGCCACGCTGACAGCCTTGACCCGCGGGCTGGCCCAGCTGTACCTTGCCAGGCCTGCTCTGGCTCCCCATTTTGTGGACCTCTTAGATCAGGTGGGCCCTGAGTTGGGGGTACCCCTAAAGATGGTGCTGCAGCAAGAGGTGGTGTCCAGGCCCCCAGGCGGGGATGAGGCCCTTCGTTGGCACCTTCAGATGCTGGCAAAGGTGGCGGAGGCGGACGGCCAGGCTGCCACCCTCAGCTTCCTGCAGGCTGCCGCTGCCCACTGCACAGACTGGGGCCTCCAGCAGGCGCTGCTGCAGGTCTGCCGAGCCCTGCTGCGCGCGGGCGCCGGGGGCGGCCTGGTGGACTTGCTGCAGAGGCTGGCCAGGCGGCTGGATGACCCTGACGGGCGGGACCATGCCCGCCTCTACTACATCCTCCTGGCCCACCTAGCTGGACCCAAGCTGGGGGTGGCCCTGGCCCCCTCCCTTGCAGCTCCTGCCCTCACCTCTTCGCTGGTGGCCGAGAACCAGGGCTTTGCCGCGGCGCTGGTGGTGCAGGAGGCCGCCGCCCCCGTCCGGCTGAGCGTGGGCCCCCGCCAGGCCGAGGGCCGGGTGCCTGTGCTGCAGCTGCGCGTGGAGGCTCTGGAGCCCCTGTACTCGCTGGAGCTGCGCTTCCCCGTGGAGGGGCGGCTCTGCGCGCCCGTGGGGGCCGTCCACGTGCCCTAC